CTGGCCCCGCTCCAACAGGTCCATGTCCTTCTTGTGCTGAGGGCTCCAGAGCTGGACGCAGGGCTCCAGGGGAGGTCTCCCCAGAGCAGAGCAGAGGGGCAGAATCCCCTCCCTCAATGCTGGCCACGCTTCTCCTGATGCAGCCCAGAGTACAGTTGGCCTTCTGGGCTGCCAGCGCACATTGCCATCTCATGTCCAGCTTTTCATCCACCAAAATGATGAAGGGTAGCATCCTCTAGCATGTGGCAGAGGAACAGCATCTTCTGCCACAGCATGCAAACATCCTCCCTTTGAGGAGCAGGCCCTTGTGCAGCTCCACTCTGGAGCACAGCACGTGAAACCAGTGTCCGCTCAAGTGCAGTTCTGGTGTCTCAGCCGAGGCACTGGGCAGGGATGAGGTTGTGTCCCATGGCGTCTGTGCAGCGCAGGATGTCAGGGTCCTTTTGGCTGCTCTACAGAGACGTTGGCGGGTGCTGCGGGCGAGGCGTGCTTGCTGGTGGGTGCAATGCCAGGCTCATGTCCACAGAAAGCTTCTGCCTTCCCCAAAGTAGTGCCAATGTCCTGGCCAGAATTCAAAGCTCCAGAGGCTGCTGCCAGCCTGGGGTACAAAGCCTCCTCTTCCAACATCCAGCATGAGTGTCCCAACACTACTGCATGACCCCAGCAGACCTGTGCCCAGGTCTCACGAGCACGTGCCCCTCGTGGTCTGTCAGTGCAAACCCGTGCCAAGGTGCTCCCCAGGGTACCAGCATCCCCACGTGGCGGAATGGATGCAAAGGAGGATGTTACCCACAAGGCACTGGTAAAATATGGAGCTGCTGTTTGGGGCTGTGACTGTGCTAAACCAGAGCTGGGAGTAAGGCACACTCAAAGCCCAGGACTGCTCCCAGAGTTAAAGCCAGGCTGAAATACAGATACTGTAGAGCCTGGTCTTGCCACTACCACCACAGACAGAAAGAGCCCACTCGTGTCTTTGGTCAGGTCACATTAGGCAGGCATGCAGAGGAGATTCTGCGATTGCTGTCCTGGGGCCACCTGGCCAATGCATGTCCCACGGAGCCAGGGTCATGCGTGTGCCCAGGCTATCAGCATTATGGTTCATGATGGAGCTGCAGTGGTCCACAAGGACCTGTGGGACGATGGAGCAGCAGCTCTTGAAGCTGAAATGCTGCCAGGCCCCCATGTGCCTCACCAGCTGGGGGTGTGGAGCCCCTCGTTGGCTCCATCAGCTGGGGCACACAGTGAAGGATCCCCTCACCCCCACCTTGGAGATGTTGGAGTGGTGCTTCCCTCCATCAGGGACAACACTAAGTTTGAGGTGGCCCCATGGGCTATGGAGTGTGGTCAAGAGCAATGTGTGGAGGAGAGACAAGGCAGAGCCACAGAGGGGGGTGTTGGGCTGTGTCAGGAGCGTGCCCAAGGCCCTGGACCAGCACAGCAGGTGTGGGCTGCTCTGCACCTCCTGTTTTGCAACCTGGGTGAGCCACAGCCCATGCTGCCCCAAGCGGGATGGGGGACTTTGGTCCTCTGGGGCTGGGGAGGCTAGCACACACAGGTCCCCACTGCCCAGGCATGGCCCAGCATGCTGTATATTTGTCCAGTGACATCCCAGGTGTTCGAGGGTGGCCCAGCTCTGCAGAGCATGAGCAGACGGCACTGGATGCCATTGCCGTGGTGAGTGGGCACTGCCCATCCTTCAGAGCGTGGTGTGGGCTTCACTGCTTTCTCCATCCATGAACCTTGGGCTCTGGGGCACGGGGTGGCCACGTCGCACTGATCCACGGAGCCACGGGCCCCAGAAGCACCAGGGTGCCCAGTCTTGTGTTCACCCCAAGGCCAAATGCCAATAAAAAGCTGCAGAAAATGAAGCAGTACAGCCTCTGATTTTTGCAGGTCAGGTCTAAAACCAGGCTGCATTTTAAACAAGAGAAAAAGGATATAAATGCTGAATTTTGAAACATCTTCCAGACCTGAAGCGCTCATCTCCAGAGTCCCAGTCCACAGGTTGCTGTGAGATGGCCATCCTCAGCACACTCCCTCGCAGGGCAGGGCCATGTGTTCGTGCAAGCATCTGACGTTTGCAAGTTTTTTTATGATTATTTTTAAATGCCTTATAAAA